CAAACATTATAAAGCCAAGAGACTGCAATAAGACAAAATGAAGCACCAACTTTTTCGTCATAGCTACTCGACTTTGCGTTGCCAAGGCAAATCTGTCTAGAAGGTTCTCATGGTTCCGCCTCAGAAATCTTCGTATGTAAGACAGATGGATCCTGCGAAAACGATTCGACTCACCGTCATGTGAGTTCAACGAATCAGTGCTGGGCTCTCATCCAACCTGCGACAGACAGACTCCTCTTTCGTGAACATGAAGAAAGACTGAGACTCGAGGCGCCCCTTAGCAGCTTGATGTTGGTGCACTTTTCAGTTCGTCTGAAGAGGCGAATCGAAAGGATTGACAGATTTGCCTCACCTGATGTCGAATGGGGATTGCTTTCAAGTTGTTATTGTAATCTTTCACGAATGCGTCATCTGTCCACAATCTCACGGAGTGGTAAGTCTTGCGAGGATTTATTGTCTCAAATCTGCCTCCTCCGCCTCATGGTGGGGCCGATTTCACGAAACATTTTCATTCGCCTCTTCAAAAGACACGCCAACAGCAATTCTGGTGGGGCCGATTTCACGACTCCGGCGCGCCGGATAGTCGAGTTGCATTCAATTATTACGAGGCCAGAATAAGACTAACCGAGTGGGGCCAATAAAAGCCAGAGCTGGCAAAGCCAAGTGAAGCCAATCCAAATCAAACCGAATGTGTTATCGATCACCTGCTGGCGCCTGTGTGCCCGTGTGCGCCTTTCACGTGATCAGTTTGACCAGTTCAAGTCGCAATCTGTACGCGCACTATGCGTCTGTCTTGATGCTGTGTCTGCCGTGATGCTGGGGCCTTGATAGTGTCGTGTCGTTCGTGTCGTGTCGGTGGGCCCATCTATCAGCGACCGCCTACCAGGTGAACTGCCCTCGGCCTGTCCGTCTGTCCGATGCTCTGGCCTGACAGGCGACTTTTGACTAGCCTCAACTGTGTCTCTCTCGGTTTAACTGTGCCAGGCCCAGCTCAATTTGTGCGCTTGCCGCGTCGTTCTTGACACGCGCGCCCGGGCACAGCCGTGATGCTAGCGCGGCAGTGGTGAGGCCGCCCTGCAGCTCACTTGATGCGCCTGGCCATTGCGTTTTCGACGCGCCAGGAGCCGACGCCACGATTGCCGCGCCGGCTGCAATTGCTGTGACGGCCCTGCGACCATGACTCATCCGCTCCTCGTTTTTGTGACAGGCACTTCACATCTTTTCGGAGCTTGTGGCAGGGCAGCGTGATAGTTGTTCTTACTTTCATGTCGAGTGAAAGTGTTGGGTCGGTTCCGCCAGAAGACGACCCAACAATTTAACGTGAAATGGAAGTAAGAACAACAATTATGAAACAAGAGACGCCTCGAAACCCAACTTTTCTTCGCAGAGTAGCGTGAGTTTGTGTCGGGCTCATGCAGACGAAAGCAGCAGTTATCTGCCCCCATCCTCCGTACAGCTGTCCTCCAATCCACCGACGACTGGAACCCATCCACTTTAGTCTACGCATCCATCTACCAATCATCCACATCTTAAAATCCCAATATAGATCGTGGGATCGGGTTACCCGGCCGGCCAAATATTCAAACATCCGTCGTCTAATTAAACACAATTGAGTCGCTACATCTATCCTCACACTCGGTTCATTTGTTGTATAGATCCTATCGTCTGTCTATCCATCCATCCACGCCATCCTACCGACAATCGATCTCTAAAACAAATGTTTATCCTAAAGCCGATTGAGGCTTCTTTGGACCGGCGATTGAATGGAGGCAAAAAGAAGTTAACTGATAAATGATACAATTTCTCTCTTATGTGGGCGTAGTCTTTCGTCTTGCACACAGTTCAGACGACAAACGCAATCCAGTTGCTTAGGCTCCTTATGCTCACGAGTCTAAGGCCTTGCCTCAAATTGAAGCACAGAGAGCATGCATAGGAAAAATAACATCGGCGATCCTTCCATTTAGGCGCGAGTAGGGAGAGGCCTGGGTTGCCTTGAAAGTCACATATTTCCTATAATCTATCGGCATCCGTGGCTGTGTGGGTGAGTAGCAACCAGAATTCGAAACTTATTTGGAGTGCTGGTGAGGCCGATGCTGGGGACGTAACTGTAGTCATCATGATCATCATCCTCATCCCGATTCTCATCCTCATCCTCCTCATAATCTTCAGCATTATTTTCCTATATTGTCTCAATTCTTGCTAATAAGTAGCAAAGATAGGTCAATCTGCAGGCGACGACAATCCAGACCGCGTTGGATGTCGTAACGAGGTTCCAGTGCTGCAAGATAGTGAATTTACATTGTCATGTCCAGCCTACTGAAGCGTCCACTTCCGCTGGAAGGCAGCACTGGAATGAGATCTTGACTTCTCACATGAATAGCATAAATGCAATGACTCATTGTATCATCCATGTGTGTACATATTAACTGGCGTATTGGCATTAAAATATGTCAGCAATACTTGCGTGTGGGGTCCTTCTAAAAGATGCATGAAGTCTACTTAAGCTTAACTAAAAATGAAAAAAAACGTCCAATATCGGCTATTATCCGTTCAAATAAGTAGATGATTGTACCGAGAATAAAATCGTATTTATTTATTTCGTATTGCTTCAGCGTTTCAGAATAATTGTTTGCGATGTAGGACATGGATTTCGACAGTGTGGCCAAGTGTGTACCAGGCCTGCCTGAGGTAATTCTCAGCTGGAATGCGGTCATTGAGATGCTGATGAGGAATGGGCTGTGGTCTTCGGCACAATATGTGCTCTCTTTTGTCAAAACAAGGCAGGCCGTCAGTGCACTAAAGGCCAAACCATCTTGATAGTGGCATCTTCAAATAATATTCATGTTGTCAATTGCGAAACTTTGCACGACACCAGCCGGAAAGTATTATTACAAACATGGGCTTTAATCTCCGCACCAACATCATCTTTATCCTGGCGTTCAACTTCATTTCAAGTTCAACATTGGCTTCGACGAAACTATTACTACTATTGCTATTACAATTATTGCCATTAACTATTGTGGCTTACATTAATGCTGCTATTACGGCGACTACTAATTTTTCTGTAAAACATTCTACTGCTATTGCAACTACAATGGCAACAATTAATAATAATAATAGTAGTAGTAGCAGCATTAATAGTAATAATAATGGTAGTAATAGTAGTAGCAATAATAATAATAGCAACAAAAACAATGCTGCCTCTACTAATAGTAGTAGTAGTGGCCACAAGCACTGGCTCATGTTTGTGAATTCCGACCAGTCCTCGCCAGTGCAGACAAGACAAGCTTTTTCCATCTGGCAACCTCTCAAGACAAGTGGTACCGTCTGGCGAGCAATGGTTCAGCCAAGTGGAGCAGACCACTTGTCCCTCTGCCAGCAGGTCCAATGGGTAGGCAACCATTTAGCATGCAAGTACATCAGCTTGTGTGCCCCCCGAGGCAGGGAGGATGGGAGGCAGGTCCCAGTTCGGCCGGTCTACGCCCAGATCTTGGCGTCTGTCCAGCGCGTCTTCGACGACTCGACCTTCCGGACCTTCGCGAGAATTCGCTTCGGCAAGTGTCAGTGCCTTCCCTCGCCAAGTCAAAAGTCCGGAAGGGATGGTCTGTCTTGACGGAAGTGCGGGCTCCGGCTGCAAGGCTCCTCCACCAGGAGCCGCTGCACAGGATTGTCTCGTTGAAGGTGGTCTGTATGATGTTTCAGGTATGTTTGTGCGTCTGGTGTGTGTATGCCTGGGGTCTCTGATGTTTCAGCTATGTCTGTGTGTTTAGTGTGTTTGTGTATCTGTGTGTCAGGGCGTCTGTGTAGCTGGCTTGTCCAATATGTCTGTGTGACTAGTGTGTCTGGTGTGTCTGGTAGGGCAAGTGGGGCCAGTGTGATTTACGCGGTTCATCCCACTGGTATGACTTGTCCGATAGGTGTAGCCGGTATGATGGATTTAGCTTGTGTAGCTGATATGTATGAAGTAGCAAGTGTGAAGGATGGAAATGGTGTGATTGATATGACTTAGATAGTACGGATCATACTGCAGTCCGGCTTGTGTGGCTGATGCTTCTGATGTAGTTATGAAGGATAGTATGAATGATAAGGCTAGTGTGTTTGGTGCAACTGTTGTGGCTGATGTAGTTGATGTGGCTGGTGCAGTTA